TAATCTATAAACAAAACGACCTGCATGTCATACAATCAACTTCTGGCTTTCTATTTGCTTTTTCTATATTTCTATAGCCCCATCCAGCCTGGCCTTGAACATCTCCAGGGACAAGGCATCCATAGATTCTCTGGGCAACCTATTCCACTGCCTCACCACCCTCAGTGAAAAGAATTTCTTCCCTATATCTAATCTAAATGTAAACTCTTTTAGTTTAAAGCCATTACCTTTGTCCTATCCCTACAGAGTCCCTCCCCAGTAGCCCCCTTTAGGCACTGGCAGGCTGCTGTAAGGTCTACCCAGAGCCTTCTCCAGGCTTAACAACCCCAACTCCCTCAGCCTGTCTTCACAGGAAAGGTGCTCCAATCCCTTGATCATCTTTGTGGAAGTTACATCTGCTTCCAGAGGTGCTTGTGGAAACACACAGAGATAAGATGAAGACCATAAATTCTTACATTGACAATACTTCCACCTACTAACCTAGTATCCTTTAAAATGTTCAGCTCTTCCAGAAGTGTAATGCTGAACAACACAAAAGGTAGTCTGAATCAGGCTACACAGGGCTGCTATATAAATAATTTTCATATCCATATAAGTAATTTTCATTTTATTTTTCAAAATATTAATTTATCTCTTCAGAAAAATATATTTTTATTTAAATACATATTAAAGATATACACGTTACATCACTATACTTGGAATTTAAGTCATTGATTAATTCACACTATGACATTTGTTGCATCTTGGAGATTATTTAACTGCCTCAGCCATATACTCTGCAGCAAGTCTAGCTAAATAAATGTAAGATTCTCTCTTAGTTTTGAAAAATGACTCACTAACTATCAACAACCTACAGGCCTGTAAACAAGTTTCATTCTACTGGTGTTTTCCCTGCACTGACTACTGAATTGCCATGTGTACTGACTTACATACACTTGGGCTTTTTAAATGCTGGAATTTTAATTTATTTCACTTTTATCTCCTCCCGCACCTTGAGTACTGTGTTCAGTTTTGGGCCCCTCACTACAAGAAGGACATTGAGGTGCTCAAGCGAGTCCAGAGAAGGGCAATGAAGCTGGTGAGGGGTCTGGAGAGGGCCCTTACGAGGAGCAGCTGAGGGAGCTGGGATTGTTCAGCCTGGAAAAGAGAAGGCTCAGGAATGATCTTATCACTCTTTATAAGTACATTAAAGGAGGCTGTAGTGATGTGGGGGTTGGCCTATTCTTCCGTGTGCCTGGTGACAGGACAAGGGGGAATGGGCTAAAGTTGCACCAGGGGTGGTTTAGGTTGGATATTAGGAAGAACTTCTTTACTGAGAGGGTTGTGAGGCATTGGAATGGGCTGCCCAGGGAAGTGGTTGAGTCATCATCCCTGGAGGTCTTTAAAAGATATTTAGATTTAGAGCTTAGTGATATGGTTTAGTGGAGGACTTGTTAGTGTTAGCTCAGAGGTTGGACCAGGTGATCTTGGAGGTCTCTTCCAACCTAGATGATTCTGTGATTCCCCTTGCAGATATTTCTTATCATCTAAAAATGACAGTAAGTGATATTGCAGTTCTGTGACAATCCCAACTTTACATTAGGCTGCAATAAGCACATCAAGAACACCAGGGGAAGTTTGGACTTTATTTAATACTTTAGTTAAGAGAAGTTTTTAGTCCCTTTGGTTGTATAAACAGACCTTCCTAGGTAGAGTAAGTCAATATACATCTGTCTACTTATCAACTCTGTTGGACTTGAAGCTGCATCATTAGTTTGCCTCGTGGCATGCTTCGATGCAATTATTTACATAAAAATGCTATTAAGACAGCTGTCCAGCACAAACATGCTTTTGCCATGGAAACTTAAAAATGCAGTCCTGATACTGATCCCTTATGGACTTCAGATTTTTAAAAGATTCAAACAGTATCCAAATCAGTATATAAGGAGACAGATACGGCATTGTCATGTATACTGCCCAAACATAGTAATAATCATTTAAACAGCTACTTTCATTTAAATTACTAGGATTTATTTTAAAAAAAAAAAAAAAAAAAGGATTTCTATAAATCTGCTTTAGGACTATTTGTGTATACATATACCTAACAGTGATATTTAGACTTTACTGTGACAACCTTGTAAAAGTCAAGAATATCAGTGTTAAAAGGAAAGTGCAGGTTAAAATGAATGGTCCTTACAAGAAAAAAAAATCTATTGCTGCTGGAGCCCACACAGATTAATTGTGTAGCAGGATAATAAAGATGGAAATGTTTATGACCAAGTGTTATTTGTACTTCCTCTGAATAAGAGAAAAATAATCACATTTCTTCTTCCAAATCATAAACTGCTCAACACAGTTTTCTACCCACTCAGATCCCTCCCTGTGCAGGGCAATCTCAACAGATTTAGGACCAGACTGTTAAGTTAATTGGACATATGGTCTCCAGAACGCAGCCCCAAGAAAGAACCACCTACACCTCATCAGTTAGGCACAAGTCTGGATCCTATTCCCTTCCAAAACACACCCAAGTCAGGACCTGTTGGCATGTGCCTCCAGAGCCTGGAATTCTTCCCTGAAGATAAATGAATGGGACATCATGTTCATTTCTAAAATATGTCCAGAGGAGGAATAAGAGGTATCCTTCTCATCTGATAACTGACAGGTTAAAGCACTCAGAAAAGAGAGGAGGCCAGGCTCAGTGCCTCCCTTAGCCAAACAGACAATTCAACCCTACATCTCCCACGTCTTATGAGTGGAAGAGGCACGCAGCCACAAGGGGTGTGGCGATGAGGAGAGAGCACAAGAAAATACAAATTGTTGCTTCTTCCTTCCCTATTAGCCATGATTTAAAAAATGAGCTGCTCTTACTGCATTTTAGAAGTATCCCCATCCTACTTATATACTAGGTATGCTCTCAGGACATATGAGATGTGTTTAGAGGAGCTGACTGCTTCCCCACCTAGATTTTAGATTGGGGTGGGGAGGACAGGCATCTCAAGCTAAAATATTTCTTGTCATCACAAAAAACAAACCTCTGAAAGACACTGTGCATCTAAAAACAAAGGAATACAATGTTAATGCCCTTGTTGGTTCAACCTTCAGAGCAGCTACACTTGCATGAAACCTTCTTAAAACATTAGCTTTAAAATCTCAGCTGAATATGTTGAGGATTAACACCCAGAAACACCGGATGAAACAGTACTTACTCATTCAAGTGGACACCTTAAGCCTTATTTCAGCCTCTGAGAAAGTAATAGAACAAGTCCTAGAAACAACTACAAACCAAATGAAGGAGGTGGTTGTGAAAAGCCAATATGGATTTACCAAAGGTAAATCATACCTGACTAACCTCATCATCTTCTAGAGCAAAATAATATCTGCTTGTTGACATGGGGAGAGCAGTAGGTATTTTTTACATGGATTTCACCAAAGCACTCAGCACTTTTTCTGACATTCTTCTAGACAAACTGACAAGATTGGATGGGTGGTCTGTGAGATGGGTAGGAATTTGGCTAATAGGCTGCACTCAAAGGGTGGAATGAATGGTTTTTGCTCAGGCTGGCAGCCAGGCACAAGTGGGATGCCCCAGGGATCAATACTGGTCAACATCTTCGTAAGTGATCTGAATGGTGGCCTTGATAGCATCCTCCCCAGGTTTGCTGACGACACTAAACTGTGGTGAGGTGGACACATCAGAAGGGGTGCCATCTTACAGAGAGACCTGGGCAGGCTGGGAGAAGCAAGAACTGTATGAAGCTTAACAAAGGTCCTGGACCTGGGACAACATAACCAACAAGTCCAGTACAGGCTTGGATCTGTGTGGCTGAGGAGCAGCCTTGGTGACAGGGACCTGTGGGTGCTGGTGGACAACAAGCTGAATGTGAGATGTCACTGCAGCAACGAAGGTAAGTCAGTTCCTGAGCTGTTTCTGCAGGGGCATTACTAGCAGAGATGGAGATGTGATCACCCCACTTTGCTCAGCATCTGGCAGTCTGCATATGGTCCAGTTCTGGTTTTGCAATTTAAAAAAGACAAGGAGAGGGTCCAATGGAGGCCAGGAAGATGACTGAAGGGCTGGAGAACCTGCCCTATGAGGAAAGATTGAAAGAATCATATCTTTTCAACCTGGAGAAGACTTGGGGTGACCTCATCACAGTATCCCAGCACTTAAAGGATGCCTACAGAGAGGATAGAGGCTCTCTCTTCACAAGAAACCACACAAAGAAGGGGCAACAGGTACAAGCTGCACCATGAGAAGTTCCACCTTGACAAAGGAAAGATATTTTTTACAGTGAGAGTAATCAATCACCAGAACAACCCCAGAGGCAGAACCCCCATCAGTGGAGGTTTTGAGGATGCAACTGGACAGGGTGCAAAGGGTGAAGGCTCTCTTTTCCTTTGAAGGTTGGACCTGATGATCTTTTGAAGTCCCTTCCAACGTGGGCTGTTCTGTGATTCTGTCCTAAGCCACAACGGGAAAACCAACAAAAATGCTGGTGGATGCTACATCCTTCATCTGGGAAAGATCTGGAAAAGGTATTATCATAGAATCATAGAATATCCTGAGTTGGAAGGGACCCTTAAGGATCATCAAGTCCAACTCTTGACACCGCACAGGTCTACTAAGAAGGATGAGAAAATACATTATATGTGGGGTCTGATGACCATGTACCTTTCTAGACCTGTATCTACCCCAAAGTTTTATATCAGAAAAACACTTTTGTAATACTATTGGATTTTAGTAATTGCACATGGTTGAACAAAAAGCAGATGCACGTGACTGTGTTCAGTATTTGAACAGGTAAACCAAATAGACTCCTTAGGGAAAAAAAAAAAAAATGCATCCTCCTAATTTCAAAGCCTCAAACATCTAAACCAGAAGGTAAATAACCACTTTGTGCAGATCGGCATGAGGAAACAACCACGTAAACGCGGCTGGAACTGACTCAGGGCTCCTCAACGGGCGGTTTTGCAATCCGGAGCAAACACCCAGCAAGCAGGAGGCCCCCAGCCCGGCCTGAGAGGCTCCTGAGGAACCTGCTCCTGCTTTTCACGGCTGCTGGTGCGGGGTTTTGGCCGGGAGAAGAGTCCCGGGTGGTGACACCGGGGCAGCTCCTCCGGCCCCGGGGCGGGGTGGGGAAGGAGGGAGGCGGCCGGGGCGGTGCGTACGGGCTCGCCCGCACCTGCTCCCTCCTCCTCCTCCTCCTCTTCCTCCTCCTCTCCTTCCTCCTCCTCCTCGCCCACCTGGCCGCGGCTCAGCCGTCCCCGCTCGGCGGCACCGGCACCATGCTGCCCAGGGGAGCCTCGTCCATGCCGCCTCCTCCCAACCCCGCCGCCTACTTCCCGCCCCCCCGGGTCACTCTGCCCTCGGGGCTGGAGATCCTGCGCACCTACTCGGGAGCCTTCATCTTCCTGGAGATCGTGAGTCGTGGTTTTTTTTTGGAGGGGGGAACACCGTACACTTCTTCCCTCCCCCCCCGTCGCTCCTCACCTGCCATTTTGTGAGCGGGCTGTGGCAGCCGCCGGGAAGGAGGGAGGGAAGGAGGGAAGGGGAGGCACCGCCGCTCCTACCCCAGCCCAAAAAGGGGAGAAAACGGCTCTGTGCCCCGGGGAAGGGCAGCAGGAGCCGGGATCTCCCTCCCCGGTCATCCCCGCCTCCCCTCGGGCACCCCTGTCCCGGCCCTGTATGGGGAGCTGCCCCCCCAGCCCCGTCCTGATGGGTGGCAGGGGGAGCTCAAGCTGCTGAGAACCCAAAATTCTCTCTGAAAAGTTGCAGTGGTTGTGCTACAGGTCCTGTGCAAACTCCTGCAAGTGTGCTTAATCTGTGTGTGCGGAAGGCCGTGCTGATTTATGTGGGACTGGGGTCCTTCGAGCTCAGTCTCTGTGCAACTGTGGCACTAATTAGTGTGTGTGGTGGAGAGAAATCTGGCAGAAGCGATTTTATTAATTTATTATTTTTTTCTTGGCGTCCCGCCCCGTGTGTCTGTGAGCTAGGTGCCACCCTGCAAGCTGTACAACGGCACCTGAGGAAGGAGCTGAGCACCAAGCCCTGGCGCTGAATCAGAGCCTGAGTCAGTTGGCACAAAAGGTTAATTAGGTTGGCTAACCTGGCAGGCATTTGCCCTGCGAGCTGAAGGGGACAGCTGTAGTATTGGGGAAATTGCACAGCCCTGCACGCTGAGATTTAGCAATCTCTGCAGTAGTTTTCTATTTTCCTTTTTCTCTTTTCCTTGTTTTTGTTTCCATTTTTTAAAGAATTCTGCAAGATTCCACATTCAAAATACTGAAAACATCTCGTGTGTATCCACTTTTTATTTAGCAGATGCTTTCTGCTATCCCTTCTGCTTCCCCTCTGCCCATCGCAGCCTGGTCAATAAGTAACAGACTTGCACCTGCAGCCTTGTGAAACTAGAGAAAGTGGTTTGTCACACAGCAGCAAAAAAAGGAACCCTAAAGAACGACTTGAAGGCTAATACTAAAACCCTTGGGAGTTTTGAACTGAGACTACCGGTGTGTCTTTACGTGCATGCTGCTGCAACGTAACACTAGAAAGGACCCAACTAATTTTCTATCCAATTATAGCTAGTTTTATAGCAGGCAGCTTTTGAAAGGTATCGCTCTTCCAACCTTGATTCTCAAGGAAGTTATCTGAATCTGAAAAGGTAGCCTCTGACTTTGTAGTTTTAAATCTGTAGGATTTAAATAAGGAAGAAGTAGCTTGCTTTGAAGTTAACTGTAGCTATCCAACAGGGGAAGTAAATGCTCCATCAGTCCATTATGGCACAGTACCCCCACTACTCATTCGCTCAGATCTGTATACTGAAAAAAATTGGTAATGCTGTGTTCTTTCTCTGGTTACAATAACTTATGGAAAATGTACATTTCTCTAGCCATTGCAACATAGTTTATAACTCACTTTATTCTATAACCTAGCTTTATCTTTCACTTTATTACTTATTGTGTACTTTATCAGCATTTTATTACAAATACATTAAAAAAAAACGTAGTTTCATCTTCTTTATGTATCTCATCTGATTAGGACTACCAAGCTAAACAGTATGAGATTGAATCCAAATTTGATATGCATCATCATCAAGCTAACTTTAGTGTATGAGTGTGTGTATGTATATGTATATGTATATACATAGTTGTATATTTATGTGTGTGAGTAATATTTTCATGCTTCTTTTATTTCCCTTTAAATGACAGTAAGAGCAACATTTTCAGCAGCAGCACACAAGTCACCTGAGTATGTAAATCCCATTGTCGAGACTGTTTTAAGAGGGGCTTTGTTTAACCTCCACTTAGTGCCTATCATTTCTCAGAACAACACTTATACTCCTAGAGAACTTTTGAAGTGTTTCCTCTGTTTTCCTGAAAGTATCAGAGGGCTTCTGATGTGTGATATGAAGTGCTAATTCTGAGTTAGAAGGGACTGAATGAAAGTTCTCTGTCAGTTCATTGTCTGCATTCCTTTCCTTGCAGCTGTTTGGAACAATAGTCTGGATTTTGGTAGCATCTACAAAAGTTCCACTGCCACTGCTGCAGGGATGGGTAATGTTCGTAGCGGTGACTGCGTGGTTCCTCTCCATCGTGTTCCTGTGCGTGTTCCTCTTCGGTTATGCAAATAGAATTGCCGTCAACTGGAACCAGACAGTAAGATGTTTTTTTATTTATGTATACATGTATTTTTAAAAGGATTATGTTTATTTTATAAATTGAAAATGATTTTATGAGAAGTAGTTATCCTAAGTCTTGATGCTTGGGCTTATGTTTAACAGGAAGTTTCTCAGAAAAGGAACTCAGAATTGGAAGAGGACAGAGTAGGGCCACAAGGGGAAATACGAGACCTCATTTATGATGAAAATTGAAAGGACCTGCCTTTTGAAACAGACTGAAGCAGTGTACTTGTCCTCTATAAGCACATAAAAGGCATGAGCAGCAGGAAAAGAGCTAGTTTAATAAATCACGACAACCAATTGGTTTAAATGGTCAGAAATAATTATAGACTAGAAAACAGAAAATATTTTTGGACTACTAGAGAAGTGAGTAACTAGAGGTATAAAGATGTATGTAATGTTGTAAAGGAAACAATACATATTTTAAACACATAGTGTGATGTGGTTGTCTGAAATAGCACCAGACTAAAGCACCCAAGAAGTTTCCTTCGCTTCCTAAGAAAGTCTTCAGCTGACTTGGGGTCAGTTCCAGAACATCATTGACAACTGGCTGTTAGATCTTAGGTAGTCAAAGTCAGCATAAGCCTTAGTAGCTTACCTTTTTTTTAAATTTATCTTTATAAATTTATCTTCCTTATGGGAAATCTGGGGAAACTACAGATCTCATTATGTTCTCTTCAGCTTTTGTCCAGTGTGAAGAAAAGACTTGCTGTAATGGAGCATTATGGCTTGTGCCAATAGTTCTCACAGGCTGTACCTTCCTATTAAAAAAGGGAAGCTGTTGGTTCTGGTTTTTACCAGCAACGTGGATATATGAGGTTATTGACTGTTAATTTATGTACTCCTTTGTTGTCATAAACCGGTTTTTACTTTGAGGTTTTTAGTGCTCAAGTAGTTGAGCACAAGGTGGTATTACTCTCTCTAATAATGCTGGGAGTGAATAATAACAGGTGGCAAAACTGTCATCAGAGTGGGAATTATCAAAAAAAAAAAAATCTTCTGAAAGGATCAAAACTCCTGAAATATAAAAACAGACATGTTTTAAAGGTGAAGGTGATCAGCAGTTTCTCTCACGTGCCTTAGTTTTCTTACTGACACTTTTTTGATGATAACTGGATTTGTGTTTTTCAGTATCAATATAATAATGTATCTGTTCAAGTTATTGACAGTTCTTTGAAACAAATGCTCTTTAAAGCAAGATCATGGAGCTTTATAAGTTTGAGGCTCTAACAGCATCAAAGTCCATCAATGGTAACAAACTGGATTCTACTAAAACAAACAATTAAAACAGACTGGATTCTATAAAAGCAAATACACATACGTACAGTCTTAGCTTTCCAGCACAATACAGGCAGTAATTAAGCTCATAATGAGTTACAATTAGAGAGTGTTACAGGAATTTACGCTGTGACATCCTCACAAGTTATGACGCAACAAAGCCCTTGAGCAGGTGCATAACTTAAGTAAATTAATAGTGTCCTGGGTTTCATTGAAACTATTTGCCAATTTACAATCATTAATCTATTTCAGGGTTGCTGGGTAAGGGCAGAGTCTTCTATAGATTGAAAAAGATTGTTTTAAGATGAGCATTTATCTTGCACGTTGGCTGCCTGGTGTTGGTAGTGCTTGGTTGTGCTATTAATTTTCTCCCATTGTATTTGATAAATCAGTGAGAAACTTTCCGTGTCAGGAAATTGCTAGATGAGCTGTATAAAAGCCATGCCTGTGGGACTCTAACTTACTCCAGAAAGGTATCGTAACTAAGGCAGTTTCTTAAATAAATGCAGTGTGGATCCTTTTATCTCTAGCATGGTGGCTGAAATCCAGCCTCTTCCAGTCTTCAACAGAAATAACAGGAGATATATCATTTGACCACTATTGTTAGGTACACAAAAGTTCTGCAACTTGTTGGCACTAAACTCTTTAGTAGCACTTCACAAGGATTTTTACCTGCTGTTTCAAATAAATAATTACTAGAAATACTAAAAAATTTCTATTGTTACACAATACAGAAGTGTACGTGTTCATTTTAGGTTGGCACGTATTTATATAAATACATGTTTTTGGTACTTCAGAAATTAAACTTATAATGGAACTCAGATATTACAGGTTATAAAATTAGGAGAAATGGGAAGAGTCGTGGCTTGCTTATGGGAGAGTACAAATGCATCCTTTATAGATTCATGAAAAAAAGGTGGTTTCAGACTCTGGAAGGCTAAGTGTAAATTTGAAAAATAGCTTGGGATTCTGACAGACCTGCGTTTATTAATACCGTATGACATAAGTAGCTCCACTGAGCTCATACAGATATTTAAAAAATAAGATGCTACACAGTGAAAAGTTGGGGGAAAATATGGACCTTAATACATCACTGTATTAAACCAGATGGTATGACAAACACATTTTCTTATGACCTGACTCACAGTACACTAGTTCACAAAACTAGATGTGAAGTAGCATATCACGCAGATCTGGGGCTGTTTTACATATCCCTTGTGTGATGCTTCCGTGATTATACAAGGGTTAAGACAATGGAAAGTTAGGCACCGTGCTAACAATTATTAAAAACAAAACTGACCACCTTCCCTAATAACATCTCAGCTTTTTCGGTCATAGAAACCCTAACCATATGAATGTGAAACCTTTCTGCTGCTACACGGCTTCACTGTAATTGCTGCCAGGAGAAGGAAATTAGAGGCTTCAGCAGGAGGATGGAGGAAATGAAAGAGTTTGTCTTCTGAAAACACCTCTCCTGCATGCATTCAGCACCATCTTCCTCATGGAGCTAGTTGTGTTCCCTCCAGTATTTAGTAGCCCCAAAAAACTGGATGTCCTTGATTATCTATGGATTTATGCACACCAATTGAGTTGCTAAACTTCAGCGCTATGAAATTTGTATGTCAGGTCATGTTGGGGTTTGGGATTTGTCACGGAAGGAGCACACAGCTGCATGCAGTCTGTCGTGGTGCACACAGCTGGTAGTGTAGAAGATGCAGATCTGTCTGCCAGCTCAGCTGAGCAGGGGAAACCAAACCAGTAAGCTTCTGGTGGAGAGAAGTGCCTCCCCAATTGCAGCACAGCACCATAGGTTCTCCAGTGCTCCATTGCTCTCATGTACAAGCGGTTGCTGGTCTCTACAATTTTTTGTATGAGGTACGGATGTTACAGGAGAGCAGCAGACTGAGGGAATGAGTCTTGTGTCCAAAGCTTGAGTCCTGACAAGCCTAGGACATGACAGCCATCCATCTAGGTTGTAAAGCCACTCTCAGCACTCTTTTCTTCTCTTAGTTCTGTGGATGTCAGTGGCATTTCCTGGTGATGCTCCTAAAGAAATAAAAGAGCTTAGGGGAGGAAAAAAAAAAAAAAAGTAAAGCAGACAGGATAGAAGACCAGAAGTTGGGAATTACTGCAGCTGTTTTTGCCAAAACTTATATTCTTAGAAATAAGCAGTCATTAAGAAAAGTAGTATTGTCTATGACCTAGCCTCAAATGATTATTAATTAAGAGAAAATTATTTCCTGGTCAAAGTGGAATTGGAAACTGTAAGTGGCCTCTTAGATCATAACTTGCTGAAACTAACTGGAGTGTGAGTACTGGAGTAGCTCTACCTGCTATCAAATATGAAACAACCGATGAATTTGGAAAGGAATTCTTTTAATGATAACAATAAAATAAAATCTAACACCTTTGAAAAAACATTTCTCTAATCAGGGAAACACAGCACATTCCTGCCTTGCTATCAGATAGCCACGAGGTAAGGGTAATGCACAGTAAGTTCTGGTGTGTATGAATACTCTCTGCTGTTGTGATGATATCAGGATGCTTCCTCCTGGGTGCTCGCTCTTGGCATACTGGTAGTCCGTTGCACTCACACCAATGACAGGTCCACAATGAATTTGTGCTCGAGATAGACTGTGTATCACGGTTTTCATCAAAAAGCATACCCATGCTTGTGTATAATATACAAAATGGTGCAGGCCTGCATGTGTACGCACACACTGCACGTGGTGTGTGGACTCAGGAACTGAGTGCAGTGCACGTGTATGCTTTGCAGACTCAACACCAGAGGGAGGTGCTGGAAAAATGCGTTAGATGTCTTCAAACTGTACTGGAACATGTCTTGCATCTTGCTGCATGGAACACTCTGAGGCACAAGCCACAGAAAGATTTAGGCACCAAAGCTGCTTTTTTGTGTACACCAGTAATAGAATCCAGAAATGTTAGATGTCTGAACCTTGTGCTTAGCTAGCATTCGCTACAGAGCAGCAAATTGCCTAGAGAAGAGCACGAGAGACACATAGATAAAGCAAATCCTAGCTCTTGTTAAGTCCCAGGCATTTTATTCAGCAGGATCACAAAGTACGTCCACATTACTTTATTTTGTGTAGAGCCAAAACAGAGAGAGTTGAGGAGGTGCCTCAGTACTTGGACTTTGTACCATGAAGTAAACTTCAGCTGTGTCAAGGTTGGCATGTTTCTGGACACGTACAGAAGCAACATTTAAATGTAAAGGGAGCTTTTGGAGTTGAGGTTGTGGCTGGGAAGGGATTCGGAGGACTGCAAGTTTGTATTGTACTGCTTCAGTTGTGATAGTCAGCCTGAACGTCCTTTCTTTTTGATCTGAGCTTTATAAATGGAGAGTTCTGTGAGCTCTAATTGCTTTAAAGTGATCTAAAAGGTCAGCACACGTACATAAGCTGAGCACATGTGCCTCTTCATTTGAAAGAATATGGAGGCTGGGGAGAGGGAGGGTTGTCTTAGTGCTAATTATGTTAGTGAGTTGTTTGTAATTGCAAGCAGTTGTGAAAACACGTACTGTTTAAGCTCTCAGATGGATTTAGCATTGCTCACATACAGTTATTGTTATCAGTGCTTGTTTCAGGTTTCAGTGTTGGCTTTCACTTACACTGAGAATACAAGAACTAGGTGCATGTTGTAGCACAGACTGAATCTGTTCTTTGCTTTTCAGGACTTTCTTTTCCACGGGGCTACTTTTGTCTTTTATTTTGGAGCTTTTCTACTGCAAGCAGCAACTACTTCTCTGCATTACTTCCCCCGCAAATTCAACTCCACCACACACGAGAAGATTCTAGCTGATCATGAATATAACATAAGCATAGCAGCCTCGGTATGTACTTCATTAATTTGTATCTGGGGACAGAAGTCTGTTTTAAGTCCTTGTAGCAAACTACTCAAAATGGAAGAAGTGATTGTCTTTGAAAGCAGCAAATATTTTCACAGTGGCATGCAAAAAATATCACAGTAAGCTGTTGCTCAGAGGGTACTTTTCACAATAGTATTTGAAGTGTATTATCACTACAGCTTATAATTTTAGATGAGATATTGTAAAAGCAATGCTGTTTTTTGGAATAGGAGAAATAGATAAAAACTGAGCCTTCATCAAAGCATCAGGTGTGAATTTCAAGCCTGTCCTCAGACTTGTGATTGCTTGGGATTTTTGGTACTGTAGAGGTAGTCCTGAACATGCCATGGGGAAAAATCTTGGGCTAGCTCCTTGTGCAGCTCCAGATATGCCTGACATCATAAAAGTATATAAAAGTTAGCTGCAAGGGCCATGCTGTTACCTATGACAAGGATTAGAGTGTTTTTATTGATAGCCTAAGCTCAGACTTCCTTTTTATCACTGCAATTGCATCATCGCCGAATCCCTGTATCTGGTGATGTGGGCGTGTGAAGCTGAGTCAGGAAATACACTGGGCGTTAGCTTTCTCCCTGACTGGACTCTTGAATGGCAAGGAGGGGTGTGGAACTGAACTAAAAGTACTGAGCCTTTTTTTTTTTTTTTTAACCTCCAAGAGCATCTCACATACCTCAGGGAACTCTATGGGTTTGTTAAGCTTCTAAAATGCTCTGTGGGTATCTGTTGTCTTCAGAACTAGATAACCACAAATTTTATGCTGTAAACACCTTCAGCTTATCTTAGGATAAAAACAAATGAGCCTAAGGTGTGAAGTTTACATTCTCTCTGAAAGAAAATAAAGGAAAAACCTTTTGCTTTGGCAAGCCAAGCTCTGAAGGGGCACTCAGGACTTGGAGACTGACATGCCCAACATTACCCTCTTGCCATTAGCACACTCCGGCACATTTAATGGTACACAGACAGAGGTGGTGTTTCATGGCTGTGTCCAAACTGAGAGAGGACTTGCTATTAAATATTTCAAATTCTACACTTCAGTGTAGTTCTTCAGTCCTTGTTTGAGTGTGTTCAGATCCTACTTAATATTTGGTAAAATATTTTTCTTCAGTCACCTTCATTATCTTTTCTGCAGTAGAATACTCCAAGAATCCCTTTACCCTTCCATACTATTTTGAAGGAGAATTCAGTTCTTTGTGACTCTCAAATCCCTGCCAGGATAGGGAGGAGGAGATTTGCACCTCAGTAATTTTTAATTAAGAGATGCTGGGAACTGCTGAATCAGATACTGTAGTCTTTAGCATCTTCATGTTTGTTTGTTTGTTTATTTATTTATTTATCCCAAAATTATCTAATTAGAAAGTCAGGGCATACAGAGAAAAAAATTATGACCCTTTTCAAACACTTCATTAAAACAATCCTATGATCTAAATGGGGAAAAAAAAAGATAAAGCCTTGTGGACATTTGTCTTTTAAAATTACTTCTTAGATATGTATACTGTGATTAAAAATGTATCTTCCTTTTATGAGTGATAGTTTTAGGATGTAGCATCTATTCAAAACTTGATGTGTCGGATTAACACTTGTATGGAAAGCAAGGTTGTGATCATGATTGAATCTATATGTTCTAGGAGAATGACCATCATTAGCACTGGACAATACAAGAAACTATGTTTCAAAAATTCAGTGTCTAATTTTTTTCTTCTGGTTTATATTATATAACTGAGTTTGCCATGGCATGACCTTCAGTTTATATCTCTTCAATTTAGTTCTTGAGCAGCAGCAGATTCCTGGCATTTCTTAGGAATCTCTTCTGGTGTCTGGTTATCTGGTTAAGGAGGCCAGATTTGAATCAATCTCTGTATTTCTGCAAGTAAAGAACTCTGCTTTTTAGAGGTTTGTCTCCTTAATTGTTTGCTGGTAAAGGCATGCACTTGTAGGTCTTCTAATCAAACACTAAAAACTGAAGTTTTCAAACTTCCAAAACTGAAACATAAGGTGTAAGTATGCACAATTGTTTTGTACCATAACTTCTGAATGTGTTCTGTTTAGATCCTATTTCAAAAGATCTTCTGCAGCTAGCAAGTTAAAAACAGTAACATGGGTTTAAAACAGAGAAGTTTGTGAGAAAACTTCAGAGGATCCCAGACCTGTCTTTACGATAAGAATTTTGGGTGGGGAGCTACCTTTTGAATCATTTGTGTTGGTGTATTCTTTTGGAATAGAAAAAAAGTAGATCAATATAATGTGTGATTCACTTTTTTTTTTCTTTTCTTTTTCCCCCCTACTCCTCTAGATTTTTGCCTTTGCAACAGCTGTTTGTTATGGTTGCAGCACAGCCATGGCGTTAAGGAGATGGAAGCTATAGCGGTTGAAGAGACTTTAATGCCTGAGTGCTCCACTTCAGATCAAATTAACTACTACTTGTCTGTTTTACTGTAATGTAATTCCAAAAAAGACTTTTTTGCTTAAAATCTGTTTTCAACTGCTGAAATGCAAATAACCCCTAATCAGGATTTCCTTAACAGAAGACATGTTTCTGTCTCTTCCTTTTTTAGTTTTTACTTTTATTGGGTCCTCATTAGAAACGTTATTCACTGAATAGTATTAGAGAGTTCAGGGATAAACAGATATCATGAGCAGATAGCAGAATTTTAGTGCTAAACCAGAAGAGCAGGAAGAAAGCTGAAACTAAACAGACATGTTACCTGCACAGGCAGCTAAGAAGCTCCCCCTTTGTTAAGTCCTGGGACTGGGCTTTCAGTGCTTTGCAGCATTACAGTGCGCTCCACACAGGTGGGCATTGAGGCTCCTGGTGGAGTCACTGGTCTTGTGTGTGCAGCTCTCTGCATCATCAGAGCCCAAGCTGACTTTGCGGTATCAGCTTAGTATAAATTATTAACTTTGTACAGATGAAATATTTTAAATATCCATGCAGTGCAATCTTTTGGTATTATCTTACAACCATATTCAGCTATGGTGATCTGATCCTCTAAAGCTTCTTGTGTTCTTTTGTAGATGGAAAGTGTCTGGGAGTGCCAGACAGTAGTTCATTAGTTTTAGGCATTTAGCTCAATCAGATCTATTTATACTGCAAAACAAACAGTGCATTTGTGTTGTGTGTATATAGGTGATATAATTTTGTTTAACAGGAATATTTGCACTGTTTTACTTTGTTGAAGTACGGCTGTGGTTTTGTTACTTCAAGTGCTGCATTTGTTACTTAATTATGTGAGTCAACTTCATTTGAATGGAATGTTACCAAATGGTGAATATTGTCTGACCTCAATTCATGCAGTGCGCTATTTGTTACATCTTAAACCTGCGGTGTTGTAAAGGTGTTTTTATTTGGAGAGATGCCTATGCAACATCTTGCTGAAAGCAGTGGAATGCAAAGCAGTCCACCCATGAGGGAGTTTGCTTTTGGCAGGAATGAAGTTTAATTGAGCCTCCTTTGAATATCCCAGTTGTATAATGACATGCAATGTTATAAATACAAAGTTAACGAAACGATAGTGTTGCACTCTGTTCCTTAACACTCATCCTTTTTGGCAGATGGCAAAACTTCTTTTTTTTTTTTTTTTTATAATGCTAGTAAATATTTTTTTTTTTTGCTCTTGTGAATAGTGCCAAATTGATAATGTGGGAACGTAAAGGTTCTCTGTCATTCAAGAACAACTTGCTCACTGCATCTTGCCAGTGCACCTTACAATTCTACAAAGACCAGCGGCGGTTGGGTAAGGGAAGACAGGACTTCCCTCATTCCTGGGCCTACTCAATCTCCTTGAACCAACAAAAGTATCTGCTCTGAAGGTCACTTTGCCAAATTTGCCAGGAACAAGGATCTCTGAAAGCCAGCCACCATCAGTGGAGCCCTTCAGTCTGTGCTGATCCAGGACAGAGATTTTTATCGGTGACACGGCAGTGAGCAGCCGCCCTTCTGACTACTGGGACCACCTCCTAAAATATTGCAATGGGATGGATTTGTGTATCTTTTCTGAAACTTTTATCTTCCAAAGATTTTATACTCTGCCTGATTATTTTTTTTTCTAATCCTCTACTTGCGTTAAAACTTGTTTTGTGAATGTTTTACCTAGAGCCATATACTTTTAAAACACTTCATATTGTATAAAATACATTTACACTGGAGTATATGGATGAAAATGTTTAACGGACTTATGCTAAGCAGCATTAAAGTTACTTAATACGTTTATGGCAGCAGACTGGTTATTAATCCTGTTTGTAAAGTCTTGTCATTAGTTCTCTTTTTGGAAAGTGTCAAAAAAACTACCTTGCAGCTCAGTGTGATTCTAGACATACAAAATAAAGGCTAAGATTTCTCAAGAAGACACAACTACATTAGTTTTGTATAGTGGTTTGCCATGTGATACAGCATGAACATCAGTGAGGAGAAGAGCCAGATCAGCTACAACAACACTGTAAATGGGCGCTGCACTTTGGTGTGGTTACTCCCTCACCCTGGAACCTAGAAGTGCACGGCACACTGCAGACTGTGCACAGCTACAGCACCTGCAGCCAGCTGGGACGATGAGGGAAAGATCTTAACTTTTTGCCTCTTTAAACATCCAGAGGATGAATCCCACACGTGGTGTCAATTAAAAAGCTGTCCAAGGTTAGTTGGCCTTTGTACCTAACCTCGGAGTTCAAACCTGAGGTGTAAAGATGATGACCAGTGGGTGCTGTTTAAACGTCTTATACCACTTGTAGAAGAAGCCCAGGTAGCAGAGTGCAGTTAGCATAGCATGGGAACTTTATTTGCATAGTGAGGAAAGGTGAAACTTTCCCTCTTAACTATCAAAGACAAACAAAGGGCAGTGAAGAGATAAAGGTAAAAACTCCAATAATGAAAAGGTGGCTTTCATATGAAAAGGTGGCTAAAAAGCATTGAAAGGACATAAATGTTCTGTTAGCATCTAAGGAGTTTTACTGGTCTTTGAGGAATATCTAAGGAAGGACACACCAGAAAAAGGAACAAGGAAGCCATCACATTCCTTCTTTTTTTTTTTTTTTTAAAAAAAAAAAGGCCAGTAATTAATTTTGTATTACTTTGTAAAAAGATGGGTGTGACTCACAAATGGTGTGTGCATGCTGGGATGTCTGTATGCAAATACTGATAGGGAATTAGCACGAACCTTGTGATGGTTATTACAGGTGATATATGCAAGCTGGTTCTAATACGTCTCACTCTTTTCTCCTAAATTAAATGTATAAAAATGTCCCCAAGCCTCTGAGTGATGACCTTGAAGAGCACGATCTTAGACTTCTTCAAAGAACAAAGGGAGCCCGGGAGGAGATAGGAATATAAACTGTCACAATGAATTTAAGGTGGATGGAATTAGACCACAGATGCCAAAAAGTGTTTTTGTCAAATGTCTCTATGAAGTGAAGCTACAGTGCAGGGATATCCAAGATACCATGCAGGTACCTACTTTTATTGAAACAAAAAAACCCATTTCATAGTATTTTGGATACTGCTGTTCCACAGCTGCTGCTAAATAAGTTCTCTATAAGGAGACTTTTCTTCAGAAGGTGCAGGGAGAAGCACTAGTTTGCTATTGCTTAAGAGAAAGGAAAGGATACATTTTAGAAAGCTAAGCTTCTGTTAGAACATACTCAGAAAATGATGCACAGAAAGTGCTTCACTGAAGTCCTGACTCTATTTCTGTCTTCCTGAATATCTGGAAATGATCCAAGGTGACACAGCACCTGCAGTGACTATTGATATGTACAGGATCAGGCTGTTAATGATTTCTCAGGCCTTTGTATATTGGTTATAAATCATAAAGTGAGTAAATTTATGTTGATGTAAAACACATCTGTAGAAAGAGAGAGGCAGAACCGGACAGAGATCATGCAAATCTGTTCCCTTCATAAAAAGTTAAAGAAAAAGCACTGAAAAATCAATAGGCCAGTGTCTTTTCCTCTTTAGCTTCCAAAACCATCTCACAGCACTGACTCCCATTGCACTTCCTCTAATCCTTTTTTTTTTCAATTGCTTTATAAGTGTAAAAAATGTTGACGTTCCGGTCTGAATTTGAAAAAAAAAAACCAAAAAAAAAACATGTTAAGAGAGCATAAAACTCTTGGAGAACTAGTTTGCTCCATTTTTATCTATATAGGGGGAAACTGGTCTCTGAGTGCTGGTATCCTGATGCATTTCACAGTCCACTGCCGGGCTTGTACAGAAAGGCTTCCTGGTTGTGTCTGAATATAATGGGGAACCACAAATCCTAAAACTGAAATGCAAGCCTAACAATGGACTTTTCAGTCTTATAAAGTTTTATAAAATGGAAAATTGGAAAGTGAGAGCGTGCTGTATGTTTTTCTGATCTGCATTTTTGAGAATTGGTTGTGGCACCTTGGCTTTTGTGGAGACACTGGAGACACAAGGAACACCATCAGAAGAAGAAAAAAAAATCAGCAATGGAAGTATTATATATATATGTATTTATTTATTTATTATTATTATTTTAAATGGAGTTCAGCATGACTCTTCACCTTTCCCCTGGTGGGTTAAGCTGCTGTTGGTCCCTTATGGTGCTCCTGTAAACCCCCTTCCAACCTGGGCAGCCCAGAATTTACTGCAGCTGTACCTGAGGAGCTCCTGGGAAGAGAAGTGCTGTTCTCCTGTCACAGATGGGAAGCTCAGAGAGGCTCGTGTGCTGAAGGAGACCTGTGGTGGAGAAGAACCCAGTTGTTCAAAGCAAAGGTGGATTTAAATGTGGGCAGGAAGACAGCGGTGCCGTGCGGCCTGTACGTGATCGACAGGGACTATTTCTGTCTCTGTCACGGTCGTGTTAAGTCAGGCAATTAGTTACATGGCCTTAAAAGGTAGGACTGTTTGTGAAGGATTATGAGTTAAAGGGAGGCTTTATGTGCCAAATTGGCCATTCCTATATCCAACACTAGCTTCTGGGTATTCTGACCTTCAGTTTGATTATCCAGCTGTAAATACACAGAGTTCCTTCTTGAGGTGTTGGTCTGCCTCCTGCATCTTAGAAGAGGAAACAGATCCTCAGGAATCTGCAGGTTTCAGCTGCTTCCTGCTACATGGAATATTTGAGCCTTACAAACTTGGTGTTAGGAAAACTACCTGCATCCAGCCCGCCAAGGCACAGCTTGCAGGTCAGAAACCTGAGCTAAGTTTTGGCAACTAATTTGTTCAAGCTGCCTTCCAAGGAAGCACAATGATCAAGTCATCAGGCTTGGATAGGTATGTTTGAACACCTTCCTTGCTGTGGGATTAGTACAAATATCTGTAAGGATTCTGGAGATTGTGGGCAATATATTCACACACATGCCCAGCAAACCCAGTGTCAGACCTGGCTCCAGAGAGGCTCTTGTGCAAGGACTGGGCCCCAGGGACCTATACTTGATTACAGCATTACTAGTAATCTTTAAGGAATTACTGGAGCTTTTAATCTCATCCATACTTATTTTCTAGTCTTCTCAGCAAAGTGTGGCCCATATCACCAGGCCAGTGCTGTGGAACAGCAAACAGAAGATGAGAACAAGCCCAGAGGGGTTTCCTGCAGAAAAAAGGATCCTCTGCACTCTGGCTGCACAGCCAGGACCTCACACTGCCCCATTTCCCTGTACAAACGCACTGGAGCTTCAGGGTGATCTGATTACCTTGCTGCAGGTGTTGTTTTAGGTTCAATAAACTTTATGACACAAACCATTGAGGCAAATTTTTTTCTTTTAACAAACACTTTGCAACCCCTTTTTTTTTTGTCCTTAAAAGGACTATAACCATCCTTCTTTGCAATTAATTTTCAAGTGGAAAGCATATTGTAGCATAAATTAATAATGTAATTACTGATACCATAGGTCTTACTGTTTCCAAATTGAAGGATCTGGAGTTATTTCCAGTTTCCTGGGTCCAGGTGAACACCCTAGCTACATCACAGCTCTGTGTGATAGTGTGACCTGAACAGGCATCCCCTCTTCTCCCTGCTTCTTGCCTGGTTTTGGAAAGAAAGCCAGGCATGCAGACAAGCAGGGAGCTGCACCGTGATCTGGACAAGCTGGACAACCCAGAAAGCAACGTGGTGTATTTGGATGTGATTCACTCTTAGGTAGGCAGCACATGCACAGATGAACTTTGATGGTTCCACCGAGACAACGCAGAAGTTAGGGCAAATGGAGGAATTGTGTGGGAGGCCCACTGATTATAAAAGGAGGTTTACGACTTTAGCAATTCTTTGCATTTGTCCCATGCAATAAGTCTAGGTCCTGAAACTTGAATATGCCTGTTTTTCAAGCTGTAAATACCTTGTGCTGGGATGTGACGTCCTGGGGAACCTGTAGGGCCAGCTTAGAGCCTTGGGCTGTTCAAATAAGAGGCAAGGTAAATCATCACCGGATGCTTTAACCCCAAATTCAGGACCAGAGGGGAAGGGGAAGTGTTCCCCACCTCCCAAGTCCACTTCCCTACATGGTATCAGCTCTAAAGGTTGGAAGAAGGACAGGAATTCTTCTCTTCCTCTCTGTTCCCTGGCTACAATCAGCATGGGCCCTGCATGAGCTGGAGAGCAAAAAGGAGGAGGAGCTGGACAGAGGTGTCATCTGAGTGCTAAGACACGGCTGACCTGACCCGTAGCAGTGACAGCTGTTCCTGGGCTACAACCCAAGGTTCAGTCCCTGACCTAAAATAAAAAGTAAATACACCCGATAATGAATTTGTCAAACAACATGTCTGGGTCTTAGCTGGAGCAAATGTTCCTAAAAAAGACAGAATACGTCAGAGAGAAATTTCTTGATGAACAAGAGGGCAGATTTTGCTTTTAGTTATATAAATGCAACTTCTTTTGAGGTCGCCAGCAAGGAATCTCACTAATGGAAGTAAGAACAGAATTTTCCCTCAGCACTAAATAGGGCTGACCTTTGAAATAAATGGTATTACAAATTCTTTGGCCTTGTGTCATTTGCTTTTTCTCCTTAGGATCCTGCTGCTGGGATAAGTTGTTGCTGGAATAGCTGCTGCCACAAAAGGAAAAAGAGCCTTTGTGTCCATGGCAGACTTAGGAGACATGAAGGCTCCAAGATAAAAACCCAGCACTTGTGGGGTCTCGTTGTTTTAGGGTATCTGACTCATGGGTTGTGGTTGGTTTAGGGTTGGCAACGTTGAAACAAGCTAGGTGAGGCACAGTGTCACATGGGACTTCTAAGATGAAGAACTACTGCAGTGTCACCAC